GTCACTCCTAGCAAAAATGTGTCATTGTTGATTAAGGTGTGCCACCTTATGGTCATAGTGCGTCATCTTGGTGATCATGATGAGCTTATGAGTGTTGATATGTTACTATGTACTATTAGAAGGAAGATGCTCCACCAAAGGGCTTGATGCGCCGTTTGTGATGTAACAACCACTTTTCAGGTATAAGTTACTATCTAGTTAATTTGAATTATAATTAAGAAATGGGGTTTTGGAAAAAAGCACGATGTGAGTTATGTGTGACGCGGCACGAGCCACGTCGATAAGTAGTGACACAGCCCATATCTTGGTTGCGACGTTGCATTTTCATAAAATCCTAGTTTTGGGGCTTTAGGCCCTATATAAAGAAACAATCATGTTAGGGTTCCCTCTATCACCAACCTCAGTCCTATGTATATGATATCTTAGTCCTTTGTGCCTCCTTAAAGAGATTTTGGTGTATTTTTTAGATCCTTGAAGAGGAAGTAAGCTTGTGGTGCTTGTAGAAGTCCTTTTCAGCTAAAGATTCTACCTTCTAGTCACTTCTCCATAAATATAAGTCCTAAAGTTCATTGCTTTATTCAGATTCATGCCTAGATCTATGTCTAGGATCGGGTTTTAGTCCCTTTTAGCCCTTTTGGCTTGTAGTTCTTGGAGTATGAGCAACTCCAAAACCTTATAATGGACATGTGTAGCCTTATACCCATTTAGGAATCGAAAAAGGTGTGTGCAAGGGCTTCCTTTAAGTCATGAACAAGTTCTTGGTCATTTTGAGCTTATAAGAAGTTAGGGTTTGAGATTTAGCTTGAGTAAGCCTTGGTTTTTAATAAAGTTTAAAACTTTATCTATTAAGACCTTTGTGAGTTTTAGATCTAAGAGTTTGAGCCTTGATATGAAGAGATTAAGTGCTTAACTCAAAAATGGATTATGCTCTAGAAAGCGTGAAGTGAACAAGGATAGGTCATGACGTGAGTTTTAATGAGGCCTAGAGAGTATTTTTGTCATCATGTGATCGCGACACGATAATTAGGTGGGTCACAACATGTTGACCATTGACCGTTTGACTTTTAACAAATGATCGTTGACTTTTGAACCAATTTGAATTTTGGTCAAACTTTAAGGGATTTAAGTTGTAGGCTGAGCTTTAACCTCTAATTGTTATTTAAGTAGTCTGTGAGACTGATTCTTACGAGTGTATGAGTATGCCTATGATCCTTCAACTTTTCAATCCATAAGAGTTATCTCATTATACTATGTCTTACAATAGATATATCATTCGTGTGATAGGATGTATATGTAGTGTAGTATGTTGATTATGCAATTATGCTAGTATAGTATTTTTCATGTTGATTGCTTAATTATATGATATGTTGATATATTATCTATTGATGACAAAACGACATTGGATTCGGGAGTCGCTATTGATGACAGAACGGTACTAGAGTTTTGAGTCGTTATTGATTAGGTGGACAGGTACCAGAGTCAAGAGCCTTTATCTGTATGCGTTGTATGTGTACTACATTATGTAGTATTGTAACATCCTGACTCCCATGTATAATATTTAATTAATTTACTTTTATAATGTCAGAGCAACTCAACGAGTTGGATGCCCCAACTCGTCGAGTAGAGGAATTAATGGTCGTGTAATTTTTAGAGTCTACTCGACGAGTTGGAGGACCCCAACTCAACGAGTAGGTACTGAGTGAGAAAACCCTAATTTTCAGGGTTTGTGTCCTATTTAAAGGACCTCAAGCCTTCATATCTGCCTCCCTTGTCACCTTAGAGCTCTATGAGAAACCCTAATCAAGCTTCATTCGGAGAGAGAGAGAGAGAGACTAAATTTTGGAAGGAGGTTGGAGAGCAACAAGGCTTGGAACGAGGAGGGACTTTTGGATCCAGTGTTCTTCAGTGTTAGCTTCTGTTTGGAGGTAAAAAGCTTGTAACACCCCGTTTAAAATATAATAATTAAATATTAAACATGGAACCCCGAGAAGTAATTTTTATTATTATTTTAGATTATTATAGCCCAAAATCAAATAATAATTAGCGGCGTGTTGGTTTCGGGAAGCCAAATGACATGATTTAGCGTTTAAGGGGTTAGAATGTAATTTCTGGATTTGTATTGCAAAATATTCACAAAGTGGAGGGTTGTTTGGTAAAAGATTGGACGTAAATTGAAATGGATTTTAGTGTTGAGGGCTAAAAGTGTAAAATTCGGAACCACTTTGAAAGAAAAGGGGAAGGGAGGGGCCAAAGGTGTCATTATGGGATAAACTTATATGGGGCTCGGGGTATAAAACCCGTCACCTCGGTAAACCCTAACCCTAAGTGAGAGGCAGCCGTAACCCACCTTATACCCCCTCCTCCAGCTGTCGCCACCGTACCACCTGCCTCCTCGCCATCAGAATACCATCGCCATTGTCGGACGTCGTGTGTAGCCGGGGAAAAGCCACCAAGACTGGTCGAATGAAGCTGCACCGGTGGGAGATCGGGGAAACTATCGCCGCCATGTTGTCATCATCCTTTTTCTTTTCATTGTCGCTTCGTCGGTGTTACATCTCAGCTCCGTTGGCGTTGCCGCTGCCCGATTCTGTTAAAGACCAAGCTACCGTCGGATGCTAGGCCTCTGATGTTGCTGTGAATCGTTGTTGTGGCTGCCTCCTAGTTTCGCTCTTTGCTCCTTCTGTCCCATCGTTGGCCATGACCTGTTGCTGCCGCCACCGCATGTGCAATTCCTTTGTTGCTCCGGTCACCGCTTACCACCCCGAAGGGCTCACGTGTTCTTGTTTCATATGGTTACAATTGTGTTGCTTCTTCAAGTCCATGTGGTGTGTGTGTGTGTTATTTCATGTATGTGGGGTTTGTTTGGCTGGAATCCACGAGAACAGTCACCATCACCACTGTGAGGTGGGGTTTGTTTATCTTAGTATGTGTGTGTGTGTTTAATTGGGTTTTTGTGTTGTATATTGTAATTGGTACAGGAATAATCAAAAGAAAAACTCATAACCACCATCGTGAGGTGGTGGCTGCCGCCTCCTGCAGCCACCAACCACCATGTTGGGTGGCGTTGTGCTTTGTTTGTGTTTAGACTTCGTTTGGGATTCTTGGACAAAAATGGACTAGAACCATAACCACCACCGTGAGGTGGTGACCGCCGCCGTGAGCCATCGTTGACCACCACTACCCGAGGTGGTAGTGGGTGGTGCCTGACTTGTTTAACCTTAATGGGCCCAATTAAGCCCCAGTTGACCTAAAAGCCTAACTATTTGACTAATGGGCTAGTATTGGGTTGGAAACCCTAATTAGGGTTTGGAAAACCCTAATTAGGGTTTGGAAAACCCTAATGTCATGAAACCCTAATTTTGGGAATTGATCGGGACCCACACTGGAATTATTTAATAAACTTAAAATATTAATTAATAATCATTGGCAAGTTAACCTAAGGCAATATTAGACTTAATGGATTAAGTCCTTAATGGGTTAAGTAGGAACACTTAACCATAATCGTCATTTCATGTGAAAACCCTAATTTCACTTGGGCCTTTCTATTGGGCTTTAGTGATTGGACTATTGATGGGCTATCCAAGAACAAGTAAATGGACCAAAATAATTAGATGTGCTCTAGGATAAGGCCCATGTGAAGGACTTGGGCCTAATTTGGAAATTTGGGCCATAGGTGGGCCATAACTGGGCCTTGATGATTATGAGATATTAGGTCATTGGAATACCAACAGTTTGGACTAGAATTAATGCGTGGGCCTTAAGGAAAAACCATGTAGAGGTCTGGGCCCAATTTAGAAAATTAGGTCATAT